CCCCCCCCCCCCCCCCCCCGCCGGCAGGACCCTGAACCCCCGGTGCCGTGGGTCAGATTCACCCCATCCCTTCTTGAAATCTCCTGGCCATGGGCCAGGCCCCAGCTCACTCGTGGGAAAACACACACAGAAAATCGGGTTCAGGTCTGCAGGAGCAGCTGCGGCAGAGGGACGAGCGTCCCCTGGGACGGGTGCAGGGCGTGCACGGGTGGCCAGGGAGCATCACCTCTTCGAGAGTATCCCTGTCCCGTCCCCAGGCACGGCCGGGTCTTTGGGGTTGTGTCGGGGTCGGGGGGTACCAGAGGCAGCTGGAGGCGGTTGTGAAATGCAGGGTGAAACACTGCGGCCCCGGGGAGGCTGCGCTGGGGGAAGGCTCTCAAACCTGGATGGGGACTGAGCGATGCCATTTCTAGCCTGGGCTTTCTTTGCCGTTGCAGGATTTCCTGCAGCCTTGAAGCAGGTTTCAGCTGGGGGAGAGCAGAACGAGCCCCCCCAGCTGCAGGGCAGCCCCCAGCCGGTGCCGCTCCTTCCAGAGACCATGTCATCCCGGTCTCTGCTACCCTGAGACCTCCCAGCAAGTCACACATCCAGCCAAGCTCTCGGGTTCATTTGCAGGGAAATCACCAGCGAGTCCACATGCAACCCTGGGGATGGGCCCCAGCTCTCCCGGGACGGAGCAGACGAGAACGGAGGAGTCCCAGAGGACAGACCCCGCTCAGCCACAACCCCGCACACTCGGGTTTCTATCGCTGTGGTTAAGGGTAGTGCCATGATTTAATAACCTGGTTATTGATAAAACCTAAAGTGCACGCGCTAATGGGCAGCGGTGGGTCCAGGACGCAGAGAGTCAAAGAAAAAACAAACCAGAGGAAGTTTATAATCAATGACTTTTATCTTTTGAAAATGGAAGCAAATATTTGGACAGATACTATGGCCGCTCTATAAGAGCGCATCTTTCAGGACTTCGCTGGTTCTCTTCTGGGATATCACGGCTACAAAAAGCTTCAGGCACTGACTCCGGTTGAGCCTGGCTAGGCATCAGTTCATTTAAATAAAATACAGGCTATAAACTAAAAACCAGGACGGCCTTTCCTCCGCCCTCCTCGGACCATCTACCACACACCGATCTCCTCCGGGCATTTCAATCCAGCGTCTCAGAAAACTTATTTCCCTCCAATTAGAAAAAACAAAAGGTCCCCAAGCACACAACCCTGAAGTCACACATACAAATCAACACGGAGATCACTGTTTGGGGGAGCATTACGTTTGGTTTTGTTTTCCAAAAAAAAGCCCAAAAAACCTCACATCATCTCAGCCATTTACTGCAACACAAAAACGTCACCGAACATTCAAATAACCCGGAGCGTCTGGACTGTGAATCCAGCATCAGTGGTCACAGACACAGGGCAGGGGACGCTCATCCCTCCTGCTGTGCTCGCCACTTAAAACAAAGAAAACCCACTTTTATGAAGCTTTCATGCTATACAATTGTAACACATCCTCTGTCTCTTCGCGTCCCGTTCTCGTGCCTCTCCAGCTACGTCGCCTGGCCGTCCCGTTGGTGTGGTTTCGCCTTTACACACACAGACATCCCTCCAGAACAGAGAATCCTTAATCTGCAAGTTCTGAACATGCAAACACCAGAAAAAATGGAAAATTTGAGGATTTCTAGCTAACCTAATGGGGGAAAAAAAAAAAAAAAGATCACTTCAGCCTGGACGAAGGGACGCTCTCCCCCGCCGAGCGGCAGCCGCCGGGGATGCCCTGGGTGGGGGGACGCTGCTCTGGTGTGGCGGCTCCCAAGCACACAAACGTGCACGCACATCGGGGATGCAGTGAGCTGCTGCAGGGATCGATCCCCAGCTGGGACAGGTATTGAGGCTCCTCAGCCGATAGCTCTCGGCACCCGATAGTCTTTGCCCACCTTTGGACTCGACGCGGGTTGCCGACATTTCCCTGGCACTGCGGGGACGGGCTGTGCTGGGATGGGCAGCAGCAATCCAGCCTGGCACAGCTTGCCGGGGTGGCAGGGATCGTGTTCATGCCCCAGGGACAGAGCCCGCGAGCAGGGACCCGTGCCTGCCCCGTCCCTGACACAGGCAGCCCCCCTCGCAGGGGAGACCCCACACGAGCAGAGGTTTGCTGAGCTGAGGCATCCAAGAAATTCCACGAGGAGCTCACAAGCCTGATGTGCCCACAGGGTCTCTCCCCTGAGGATCTCAAAGGACCGTGTGAGAAACCAGTTCTCCAAACTGGGATCAAAACCACCCTCCCCAGTCCCTTCCACTCCAAAGGACTGGGAGTGCAGGAGGTCTGGGGATGGAGGTCACTCATCTGATCCGGGAACAAGTAATTTCCTGCAAAGTTTTACGGCATGGTTGGGTGGTGAGGCAAGAATGATGGAGAGAGGAAAAAAAAATTATAAAAAAATAACAGAGGCATTTTGTTTCCAGAGACCCGTCATGATAAAGTCACCTAGCTACTGCTAATGCTGCTTTGGAAGCAGAGTCTAAATTTCTAACATCAGCACTAATGTGAGGGGCCAGAGAATTGCAAGCTCGCAGATTTCAAAAGCTTCTTTAAAGTCAATGAGCCAAAGAGCGTGGCAGCTCTAGTGCAGAAACAAGTATTTACAGCAACGCATACAGCTGAAACGGACACCACGGAGAACCTGGTGACTGCAAATGTCCCACGGCTCGCGTCCCCCGTGGCACACCTTAAACTCTGTACTCCATGGATAAACGTAAAAACATTTCCTGCATGAAAGTGACTTCTGCCTCAAAATAAAAAAAAGTGGCAAGTAAAACATGCCCGTCTGGACATGGCCAGAGGAATCCAAAACATGGGACTATTTTAAAAGGGCAACATGATGCTAGTTCAAAAGTTCTGTAGGGTGTAATAGGAGAAGAGGCATTTTGTGGGACGAATCACCTCATCCAGAACTATGGTTTCTTTTTCTTTAAACTGTCAGACAATGGTGATGGGAACACATTAGGGAGGCAGGAAAGGCAGCTTGTACGATCTCTGAGGGGTCTCAGCAGCAGCCTTGGCCACACTGCAAAGGAAACCGATCTGATTGTTCAAAATTGAAGATTTATACAAAATAGCTTCAGTTTTGTTCTCTGAACAGTATAAACACCCACCATGCGCGCACACACACACGCACACACACGCAGTGCTGTCCCTTTAAATTTAAAACACAAATACTGCAAAATGGCAAATAAGAAAAATAAAAAGCAACTTTTTTTTTTTTTGGCAACTTTAAAAAATGCTTAAGAACAATGTGGCATTGGTCCCTAAATCTAGAAAAAGATATTTGGGCACAACATTGAAAGTCAGAATGGATTTGTTTTCAAGAATTCATAACACCTGGAAAAAAAAAAAGACTGTAAAAGTAGCACTTATTCTTTTTGACTTGTTTGACACAGTCACATAAATTCATTAAAACATCAGGAAAAAAAAAAATCTTTCACTAAAAAGCTTGGCTTTTAATCATCGGCTCTCGTTGACGTGAATTTAGGAGAACAGGAAAGCTCGTACTGGAATGCTGCAGGCTGCTGCTTGCCGAACTGGGGAACTGGAATGTGCCTGGGCTGGCGGCGGGGCCAGCGCCGCTCGCCCCGCTCAGTCCGCGATCTTTGCCATCTGCTGCTCCAGCTTGGAAATGCGCTCGTCTTGGTTGGTGATCGTGTCTTTTATAGATTTCAGCTCTTTCAAAATCTCATCCAATTTGGCTTCGTTTTGCTGGAAGACAAGACAAGACATGTATTTGTTAGGAGAGCTGGCGGGAAGTGCTCTGCGGACGGGAGTTTTCAAAGCAAGGGGCTCCTCTGAATGGGATTCTTGGGAGCCATAAGCGTGCCAGGGTGCACAGGCAAGCGGGCTGAGTATGCAACACACGCCTGGCACAGGCACTGCGGCAGTTGTGATGCTGAGGGCATGGACCAGCATTTCCAGTGGCGGCAGCGCAAGCTTCAGGGACGTACTGGACCAATATCTGCTCTTTAACAGTGTTTAAGGACCTCCTTGACTGACAGCTGTCGCTTCCACATCTCGGCATATTACTATACCACACGTTAGCTACCACTCCCAATTAAGAACTCGTACAACCTCCTTCTGGACCTGCATAGTCTGAGGCTCATTTGTCCCACTGTCTGTGCTGGGTTTTACACACAAAAGAGGTGCACAGGAGCTGTCCCAGGCAGGTGGGTGGCTGGACCAACAAATCAAGCTTTCCTTTGTGTCACAATTCCCAGTAATCTTCCACAGCTACAGAAACCTTGCCTGGAATGCCACAACTCAAGTACCACCTCAACTCCGGGTCACCCACCGGCACCCAAGTCCCGGGGTACTTGAGTCATACGTGCTTGAGCTTTGTTATAACTATTTCTGAAGATGCACCACCCTGGTAGTCACATCTCAGGCCACCATCCCCAAAAGCTTGTGGATTTTACTCACAGTGTTTGAGGCATCAGCTGCTTTCTTTGGAGCATTTATGAGATCACTTTTCTTGTTTGCGGCAGGCTTGCTGTCCAGTATGTTCTTCTTGACCACCTTGAGATCCCTGTTCTTGCCTGGAATGTACCCATGCTTCAAGGAGATGAGAAGGGGATCGGCATTCTTCCCCTCAAACCACTCCTCTGCTTCCAGAGCTGCTTCTGGGCCAGCTGTATCAGGGTACAGGTCATCCTGGAAGAGGTCCGACTGCAAGCCAGAAGAGATGAATTGGTCAAGTGCTTTGGGGCTGGAAGGCACGAGCTGGCTTCAAACCACATAACCAGGAGGTAGTGCTCACCTTTCGAGGAACTGTCATGATGATGGGCTCACATTTCCTCTCATGAAGCTTGAAGAACCTTTCAAAGAAAACGAAAAGGTGCAACTTAGACGTGAGGACAGCCAACGCCATACAAAGGAGGCCTCGGTTCTGCCGCTCACACACAGCAGTGTACCGGGAGACAGAGGTGATGTGAAACGAGCAACCAACCCTAAGGAGTCACAGCTGGGCTGTGCTAGGACTTGCAGGGCCCTGCAAGGGCTGGAGAAAACCACCTGGGTGCGTGCAAAGCTCCCCTCTTAGGTACTGGATGACTTCAGAGGGTCATACTTTGGCCAGGGGGGGCTGTCAGCAAGGCACAGCCCACTGCTCGGACCATCGAGACAAGCACCACACCAGTAATTTACAGGTACACACTAGCCAGCCTGCTGCTCACTGCTCACACATGTCTCCACGCTCCAGTCACCCCTTGCAGTCCTGCTTTGGGCCAGTGCCACAAACTCCAACGTCCTCAGCCTGGCCACCGGGCACTGCTGCCGAAATATTCATGTGCTTTCAGGCAAGTGCAGGCTCCGCTCCCTTTCAGGGGCTCCTGCTTTCATTAATAATCAAAGGAGCCTCAAAAGGCTTCATGGGCAACATCCAGCATGTTCCCTACCAGCGGTGCGCCAGGAGCCACTGCAGTGACACAAACCTGCTTTCCTGAGATGCTTTCTTCCTTTGCCATGTTTTCTGAATCACAGCTGCACTCTGGTCACTGCACTGCTGCTTTAATTTCTCTCTAAATTCCTGAAAACAGCTTCTAACCCGCTTACTGTGTACAAGCTGGAGACTGATCGCAGACTTAGGCACCGAAAGTTATCATCAATATGTTGGCAGTGTAGGCTGTAACTGACCTGATGCTAGGTTTTCTGCAGACAATGTATTCTGCTAGACATGACTCATGCATTCATAACAGACTCAGCCTAAGTCCCAGCATATTTTGAGGTTATATCATGTTATGCCCAGCACAGCATCACTTCATGTCACAGGTCCAAACAAACACTGCAGAAGCAATAGTGTGGCAGAGAGGTCTTTCCAACAGCGGGGTCTTACACCCAGCAGCGCTTGGTTTCCCAGTGGGGAGCACACACAAGGGTTTTACAGAGGGCTCCCAGCCCCTTCCCCTCCTGCCATACTCCTCCCTTGCCTGCAGGGAGCTGGCTGACGTGCACCGTAGGAACGTGGCTTGCACTGTCCAGGTGCAGTAGCAGGACTTTCCATTTCTGAATGGCTGAGCTTGCGACAGGGTGGCTTGCTAAGACGACACCACGCACCCCGAGGGTTTTACAGAGGGCTCCCAGCCCCTTCCCCTCCTGCCATACTCCTCCCTTGCCTGCAGGGAGCTGGCTGACGTGCACCGTAGGAACGTGGCTTGCACTGTCCAGGTGCAGTAGCAGGACTTTCCATTTCTGAATGGCTGAGCTTGCGACAGGGTGGCTTGCTAAGACGACACCACGCACCCCGACAGCCTCTCTCCTTACCTGGCAATCTCACACTTGTTCACATCAAGGCCCCTCTTTGGCATGAACCCCATGCCCCTCTGCGGCTCTTTGCTGCTGAAGGTGTTGAGGTAGTGAACGTAGGGGGATTCGTCCGTGATCTCAAAGTAGCGAATACTGCTGTCACCCTGCAAGAAATGAAAGGAGGACGCTCCTGAGGCTGGAGGGGCCAGTGCTCCCCGTGCCCACACGCCTGCTCCCTGCTAGGCTAGGCAGCCATTGGCCTCACCCGATAGCCTTTCCTTCCAGGAACGCCGCCACGGAGCAATGCACAGTTTATAGCTATTTTTTTTCCAAGCTAAAACTTCCATTGCTCACCAGTCGAATATGTGTCATCTCAGGCTGCTCACAGCAGTCGCTATCAGACAGCACACTGCTGTGTTCTCGCAGAACTACCATAAAGCAGACCCCTGCTGTAACCCCAGTACATTAGCTGAACAGTTTCTCAGTGATAAGTGCTGTTCTTCAAAATACTGTGTTACAGTGACCCGAGCTCGTGCTTCAAGACTGGGGCTGTCAACTTCCACATCTCCGCTCGTGAAAAAGCTAAACTTTCTGCCACAGTCAGGCAGAAAGGCTATAAAGCAGCTTCTCTCTGATTCCAGGCAATTCTACTACACTAGCATCTCTGAAACAGCAGGAGAGGTAGCAGATATAAAACAAGTATTTTTCATTAGCTGTTTACACAGATGGGATTCTTGAACGTACTTGTATGGATCCTCCTTTGTAATTACTTGTTTATCTTGTCTTTGGCTCCTATTTGTACGAAGTCCAAAGGTGCGGCATCAGAAGTGAGCACTTTAGAGCACTTAATGCCTACAAATTGCTTTTAGAAAGGAGCACGCGATTCCAGTTTTCTATTATTTAACCCCACAAAATTAGAGTGAGCGTTGCTACATGCTCCATCATCTTCAAGCACGAGGAGGAGAACATCTAAAATGTACCTTCCTCTCACACTAATGTACAATCATTCGGGTCAAACATCCAATTACATACCAGACCTTCACAGGGCAGACTTCACAGGCTCTCTGTATGGTCCTGCAGAGTGAGGATCAAACCGATTTCAGAGCAGCCTCATTTGTCTGCAGCCCTGACCATCGCTGCAGTGCCAATTTTTTGGTTCTACGTTTCTCAACTGAGACACTTGGGGAACATTTCTCAGGCATCATTTATTCAACACGAGTCTCCCTCTAAACACACTCAATCATTCCAAAAGCTTCTCTTTACCTTGCCACACAAGTAAATAATGTTGGTATCTGGATCGTAGAACGGCAGCAGGACCCCATTGCTGGTGTCCATCTCATGAAGGGCTATTGGCTCCTCCATGTTTTTCTGGAAATAAAAAAATGCCAGTGATGCTAATGAAGAACGGAAAAGCTCACGTTAACATAGGATCTATATTATTAACAGTTCTTTGTAGCTAGTGAACACGCAGCAGTGTCTTCACAACCCTGAAGGGTCTGTGTGTTACAATAACACATGCTGTAAATGTTCACAAGCTTATTCATTCGCCAAGGACATTTTAATCACAAAACGCAATAAAAGCAGGACCCAAGAAAATTCACAAAGTCAAGGGAAAGATATGACATAGTCATGCTAGCGAGTGTCTTGTGCCAGTGTGATGGGATTGCTGCTGTCTTGCTCTTGTATACATACAACGTATAGAATGAAGCGACCTTCACACGCTCTGCTCTCTGTGTACATCTCTACAACGTATAGAATGAAGCGACCTTCACAAGCTCTGCTCTCTGTGTACATCTTCTCAAGAGACTTCAAACGTGCAGCTCCCAGCTTCACTGCTGCTCTTGGTGAGGCAGGGATTGGTACAAGAGAACTCATTCCCTTTACTGAGTGAACATCCAGCCTAAATAACGGCAATACCTTCTGGCACAGGAAGCCTGCGTAGGAGCAGGCAGTAGATGGAAGAGGGAATATGCTCAAGTATATGAACTATGAATTTAGTGGGTGACTGCAGGTCTGGGCTAGTAACTCAACGGACGTTACAACAGCAAAGTAGTAATGGGACAGGAACCTACTGGATTCCAAAGGGCAAGCTGCCGTTCGCTCATGCGGCTGAAGCCAGTTGTGAAGATGTTTCCATCAGCAAGGAAAATGGCTCGCATGGGCCGGGCTCCCTCGTGGGTTTTCTCTTTCTCCTGAAAGAGATTTACAGGTTAGCCTCTAGCAATGAACAGAAAAGCCCATCTGGTGGTGGCTTCTCTTCTAGCTGCACAGAATTGCTGGCAGGACACACTGCTCCTCCACGCAGGATGACAACTACATGGAGCAACATCCAACTATCTGCCTTGATGCTTGAGGGAAGAAACCAATTACTAAACTACAAGAGAAGCGGTCATTCCTGGCTCGTTTCAGCTTTGCCTATCAGGCTCTTGCAAGGTTGAAGGAAGACTTCTTTGCAAGCTACGACACGTACGCAGGCTGCTAAATTTCCACTTTGCATACACAACTTTGGAACTGTAATTATACAAAAGGATTAGATGTGGAATTACACTCCTGCAGGTTTTAAAACTGAGCCCTAAAATCCTAGTTCAAACACTAATCCCAATAAACCCAGACAAATCCTTCAACCACTGCTATCCCTTCTGTAATTTTTTCCTGACTTTGGAAAGCACGACTAAACATGGTATATACACTAAGCAAGAAGGTTCTTTCTCTATATGCTCTTGCTAACTCTCTGCTGGAGTGAAACCCAGTTGCTTCTTTAATTATCATGCAAACTTACAGTAACAATTTCTTGTTTCCTAGGGTCAATAACTCGAACTTTTTTGTCTTTGGAAGCTGTACAGATTAGGCTGCCATTGCGATTCCAGCTCACATTGTAAATCATATCCACGTGCATGTCATCCAAGTTTATGAGGGCTTCACCTGTTCCCACATTCCAGATAATGATTGCATTATCACAACCTAAAATAGAAAATAACAGCTAAAGTCACAACGCTGGTGTATACAGAAAAAAAGCCAGCAGCAGGGGACAAGGAATAAAACCTGCTGCAGCTCCAAAGCCTCAGATGCTGTCTCTTAAACATGCTCTGTGCACCATCACGTATGTGGAGCCCCAGGCAGCACATCCTCACTCAAACACAGGCTCAGAGCAGGGACCAAGCAGCCAGAGAAGGCACAAAACTCCTCCCTTGAAAGCACTGAGCACCTCTCAGAGGTGCTGTGGCTGTCCCAAACAAAGGCATTATGCGGGAGTATTTGGGCACTGCTCCCACAGCTGGCCACCACCCCAGCCAACGTGCTGCCTGCAGGCTGGGGGGGGTGTGGAAGCGTGCCCTGGCCACTGCTACTGCAGGAGCTTTGTGCAGCAGCTCTTGGGTCTTGGCTCAGCTGCGGGACCACAGAGCAAGAGATGCCAGGGGCAAAGAGGCGATGTTCTTACAACTCTCTACGTGAGAATACTGGCTGGCAACCAGTCATTGCCTTCTCAGGTCAGGGAGATTTGCGACAGAAAGAGTAAAAGTGGCACGGATGGAAAATAGGCAAGTGACAGCAGGAGAAACAGCAGAACAAAGAGAAAAAAGAATGGCAGGCAGCAAAAGCTGACGCCAGCAGTTTCACAAGGACTACAACCATCAGGCGGGTGGTTTTGTTCAAGGACCAGGCAGCAAGAAGACAAAGAATAAAGCCTAAGATAAGATGACAGCAAAATAAAGAACAGGACTGGAGGACCAGGTAAGGGAAGGAAAGCACAATGTGTGACTGAGCAATTTCTCCTAAGGCTCCAGAGGGGTGAAAACATCTAACAAGGCAAAAGATAACAATCACTCTGAACTCCCAAAGGGCATGAAAGACATCCCAAATCAGTTTGTTGTCACCAGGAAGAACCCTGGAGACCGCAATGACCTGACAGCATCCCTTCTCCTCTGTGTTTCTTAGGAGTAATCCTGGCCGGACTGCCTGGACACACACATCTTGCTGCTTGTGAGTACAGGAGTCTGAGGAAGCTACCTAAGAAAAATCACCTTCTCCTTTTGTATGTTCTCACACTGAGTTTCATTACATTAACTGCCACAAGGTCTGCAACTCCAAGCATTTTTTGGGAAACCGGATCAAAACCAAACTGGTACCTCAGAAGGCATTTGCATCAACAGAAAACACACAGCTGAAAGGATTGGCTTCTTTTGTTGGGCTCCAACCTAAAGGTCATGCTATGAAAACCTCAGACCGTGCTAATGGATAATGACTTATCCATCTTATTTCCATAATGATGTGACTGTTTTTCAGTGGTCAAAAAAATCTCATTGCGTAGACTGTACCAGTCAAGGAGACAATTTGGAAAATGCTGAAAATGAAAGCTTGTGGAAGGAACAGGCAGACTCTGGGATACCTTGCAGGGATCAGTGAAAAGGAGAAACAGTTGGGCCCTTTATAAAAGCATATGAAAACAGGGATGAGGAGAGCGCAGATGTAAATAGTTATCAGTGGATGAAACTTGCAGATCAAATAAAGTCTGGAACAATTTTAATACTGTAATTCATGCCTCCAGACAATTTCCTGGTTCTTGTCCCTGTAAACTGAAGATAATAAAAGGCCAAGATAAGGAGGGGGCTGTGAGCCACGTGTCCCGGTGTTCCCAGGCACTGCCATTAGTCTTGTGATTCACCGGCCCTAAGCAGCTGGGAGAGGAAAGAAGGAAAAGGAGTCAACAAGCTCTTCTCCAAAATACCTGGTGTGCAAGCAAAACGCGAGGGAGAGATGCTTGTTGACCCCACAGCCCTGACGCACCGTACCTGCACTGAGCAGCACGTTGCGTGCCGTTGGATGCCAAGCCACAATGCCGACCCTCTTGGAATGGCCTTCTAACACTACCACCGGCTCTGTCAGGGACAGGGTGAGTCCGTTCTCGGGAATCTGCCACACCTGGAAAGGGGAAAGGAAAGATGGTTAGCCAAGGGCCATCCCCTCTGAAAAGCGCGTTACTCATTTGCTTCCTGCATCCTGCGTGGCATGGATCCTGCATTCCATGCCACGGCAGAAGTCCGAGTTGTCACTTCTCAATATAAGCAGGAAGAGACAATCGGGGAGGGAATCATTTCCAGCCACCAATAAACCCTCGGCTGATCTGTGCGTAACATCCTTCCTAGCTCACGCTGCCAGCACATAACCACTGGCTACTTACGCTGCAAATGCCCTGTTATCGCTGTGTCCAGAGATCCATTCATCTCAGATGCTGCCTGAGAAGGATTCAAAAAAATTTGCCTTGCAGCTCAAATTCCATCTAAACAAGCTGCTGCCTTTTCAAATTATGCTTGCGTCTCAGAGGGACGATATTGCAGCTATACTGGTGCCTACTTTTTATTTCTTTAGAAATACTAGCAATTCATTTTCACATTATGTTTAGAGCCTCCTCTCAGATGCCATTTAACTAGGGAAGAGCAGTTTGGTCCTGGCAAAGGTTAAAGCAGACCAAGTTAGCGTTGCAGAAACTACCTTCGAATGCAGCAAACTGCCTGTTCACTTCTTGCCTGCTTGGTTACACAACCCTTCTGTTGCAAGCATCTTCAGGTAAGTGCCATCAGGAGAAGGGACAGACCCCCAAGGATTGCAGAGCACTGGAATTCCAGCTGCGGAGTCAGAGCAGGTTTATGCACCGAAGGAGGCGGCTTCTGCAACCGGCAGGGACCAGGGACGGGAGAGACAAAACCCATCACCCCATGCCCCAAGGCAGGATCAGCCCTACCAAAACTATTCCTGCAATTCAGCACTGGACAATCATCTTTGAACTGAATTTGACCTACATATAGTGTATTAAAACATTAAACAGAAAGCCCATCAGTGAGCAATTATAGCTACCTATAGATAGGTGGCAGCATTAGAGCACATTTGCTTTGCCTTCTATTGTTTGCTTTTTCTGGAGTTAGAGAATAGGGCTTGCCAGACCCTGCCCACGATGCCCAAGCAAGCTGTCAGAGCCAGCAGATGCGAGCTGAGCTGATTTCAGAAGCGAGGCAGACAGACATGCGTGAGGGCGACATGGATTTTTGCGCTAATCCCAGTTTCTCCCTTCTTGCAGAGATGGCTGCTGCTTAAATAAAACCCACCGGGATGCAAAAATTCTCAGCGCGTACCAGCTCACCTCTAAATAACCCTAAAATGTTTTCACTTTTCACCGACGCAGCTCTCGGTGCCGTCCCTCCTGGCACCCTCAGCACCCTGGGAGGAATGACCTGCCATGGGCACACAACCTCAGCAGAGAATTTCTCTGCAAGGGTTGAAAATCCCTCTTTCTCTTCCTGCCTGATGGAACAGTGCTAGCAACAAGATGACATAAACCGAGGCTTTTACCAGCAGTCATGTTTTAAAAATTGGGTTGCAAACTGGAGCTATTCAGCCTGGAGAAGCAGGATGTCATCCTGCTCACTTCCAATTCAACACCAGCTTTGCTAGTGACTGCAGCCACAGCACGCTCGCAGAGGACTGTGCTGAAACACAACATGCCTTGCGAACTGCAACAAATCATTTTACCTACCCCTTACACGATAAAACTGGGTTACAAAGCCGCCAATTTTTATAGAAGCAGCTTTCTTCTTGCCAGTCAGGGAATAACAGCCTGACAGTAGCAACAGTTTACAACATGTCTGCTGACAGGGGAACTTCAAACGTCAGTCTGCTACAACTGGTACCTGCACTTAATGTCGTAACTGTATGCAGGTCTCTCAGATGAACCACCTCCAAACCCCTCACAATTGTAAGCACTGATGCAATGCTGCAGAAAACGGGTATGACCTAAACCAGTAAGAAAGCTGGAAAGAGAACATGAGAGCTGGGAGACGCCAGCAGAAGAGGCAATGCAGGAGAGCCAGGGGCTCTGAAGCAGAGGTATGGGAGGTGCCCAACAGAGCATTAGGTGACACCAGTGCAGGGGTGGAGGACGCTCGACACAAGCAGCTCGGGCCTGATGGCTCTGCCTGACAGGCAGATGCTGGGGCACAGCTGACGTGGGGATGAGAAACAGCAAAATCACCAAAAACACTTCTCCGCTAGATGAAAAGGCCGTGACAGCCAAGACTGACCTACGCAAGTTGATGTCACACTGAGGATTAAGCAGGAAGCCAGACATCTGGTTATTCCAGAGTCTTGAGGAACCCTTAAAAATGGCAAGCCTTGATGAACACAGCCATTTCTTCCCCTGAGAGAAATGGTGTGATAAAGTGGCCTGCCCCAATTCACTCAGCCTCACTCTCTTTGTGTGTGTGTGTAGCTTTGAAAATTGTATTTATTGACAAAAAGACCCAGGAGCAGCACAAGCTTCTGGGCCAAGCGTGACCTGCAGACAAGCCATGCAGGGACAGCAGCAGGGTCAGAGCAGCTTGCACACCTGCAGCTGCAGCCAACCTTCCACCCTGCCGAGGGACAGCCGGAGCAAAGGGACGGGGTCCCCCAGATCCCCATTTCTGTTTTGCGCTGTCTCAGCCAGGAACGGTGCAGGGATCCTTCCGTGCAAGCGCAGCTTCGTAGCAAAGTAACTCGCATGCCAGAAAACTCCAGGACCAAGTTTAAACGTGAGCCAGCGAGTGCAGGGGGTGGGAGAGGAAAGGGAGGTATTAGAGGCAAAATACCAATGAAAAGGATTTTTTAAAAGCCTCTGGAGGACAGATTTTTTTTTGTTTAAGGGAAAGCCCCTATAGTTTACAGCAGCTGCAGACCAGTGTAATCCTCTGCAGATTACAGAAACTATTGACCTAATAATCCTGGAAAAAAAAAAAAAAGCTAGGAGTGTGAAAGGTCAGGGTACGCTCCCAAGCGACCTGGCCCACTCATTCCTGCACAGGGTGGGGTGCCTGTCTTCAGCGTGGGATGAAATTAGATTCAGAGGGCAAATTAAGGAACTTTCGCTTTGGACGCAGAACTCAGCCTGCTGAAGGTGAGGACTCGGGATGAGTACACAAAGGAAACCTTGAAATACTGCAAGATTAACTGGACATCAGTAACAGTTTGTCAACTCTCCCACTTGTGGGGGTTTTTGGTTTCTTTTTTTTTATTTTGTGAGGTTTTTTTAAGTTAACATGGCTGTTTTGTTTGCAGTTGAGGAAGTGAAGTCACGCCACGGTGGTGCGTAGAGGTTTGGGTCTCAGAGGGAGAGCAGGAGGGGGAAAGGTTTTGCACAAACAGCATGTGAGAAAGAAAATAAAGCAAACTTTTTCAGCACTTTTATAATACCCTTTAAAGAGAATCAAAAACTGCCTCTTCTGGCCCTGCACCAACCTGCAGAGAAGATTAAGTCAATTTCTAGAAACAACGTCAATTCCTATATTCACATTACGTGAGGAAACAAATGAGTTTGGGCCCTGAGTTTTATCTACGTCCCTGCTCTTGTATCGCTGCAGGAAAAGGCACTTTGTGCATCTATTTTTTGTAGCTGTAAGACCTTCTCCACAGCTAGCTGGTCCTGGTTCATCCTGTTCTTAACTGCCTGCTAACAGGTTGGTGTCCCAGGTCATTGCAAGGGCCCTGGTTTAATTTTTTAAAACAATTTGCTCAATCAAATGAACTCTGCTCTGGCCACTGCATGCAAACTCATTAGTATTCACCTTCTGATGAAGCAAATTTTCCATAGCTGAGAAAGGCCCTCCGATACCATCTACAAGCCCTTATATAATCAAACATTTTCCAGCTGAATTAAAAAACCTGCAGTACATTACAGTCACTCAGCAGAATATCAAGCATGAATATTTAAGTAATTCCTTATTTGTTGGCACAAGAAAATAATTCTTCAAAGAGAATACCAGAAGAGGCCACAGAAGGTATCTGCATGCCACAGCGTTGTAAAGGAAGTCTTTCTGAAAGCAATTCAGAGCGGAGGAGATGGGAACTCCCCGTCCCGCTCTTCTGCAAAAGAAGAGAGAAATTCGACAAAAAAACAGCAAATGGGGCAGAGAGGCTACTGCCCTTACCTACGTGGCATCGCTTGTCTGATTAGGACTCTTGTGCTACATTGGATGTATGAAATGGGCCACTTTCTGAAGAACTGGGAACAAGGCATAAAGAGGAAATACTTAAAACACTCGCAGACTACAAGTATTTCATTATATCTCGAACCACTTCAAGTGAGTTGTATTTGCCAACTCAAAAGGAATCTGTTGGCTTTGCAATCCAACTGGCAAGGGCACGAGGGGACGGAGGCCAACACGTGCCCCGAGGAATACCCAGCGTGGGACGAAGGAAGAGCATTCGCTCCTCCACAAGCCTACGCTCCCACAGAGAAGAAAGCAGGCGGTGTTTTGGAGAGGTCCGTTCTACTTTTTCCTCTGCTGGGATCAGACAGTGATGTGCTCATACCCACTGGCACCGTGACTTGCACAAAGGTGGTCTTGCAAGGGTGAGCTGTCCTAAATATTGCCCCCCACCATCTTCTTCTCTACCTCCAAATAATTTCTGAATGCATCAGATGTGACAGCAAAATTAATGAGTGTATCACCTGAAACTGTCAGATCACACCTATCAAGTCCCTCTCATCAGAAAAATCTCGATGCAGCTGCAAATAAACACCTTTAAAGCTGTCCAAGCTACAAAGTCCAGCAGTATCAGAAAAAGATGTCTTCTTTCCCAGTCCCTTATTTCAATCCCTAGTCTAATGATCTCAAATACTATACCTGTTCAAGGTTTATATGAAGCTCACAGGGTATTTCCACCTTCTACAGATCTGAGGTTTTATTTATATGAAAATGCTTCTAGCTTTTGAAAGGGCCAAGTTAACCTTCCTTGTGCAACACAAAGGCTGCAAACAGTTCAAAGTTACGGCTGCAGGGAATCGGCCCTCTTCATCTCCGAGACATTGGTTAGACAGCATCTCAAAGCCATGCTCTCTCCCTCAATACGTGTCTAGCTGACGTTGATGAGATCTGTTGTGGCAGAGGGTAAGATCCTAAATCCTTGAGTGCCAAGGCACAGACAGTCTTTAAAAATGGATGGTATTTTTTTTAAAAGCCGCTGGCACTTCTGCAGAAAGCCACGTGACTTCCTCCACCACATCACTTTTTCTCATTTCACGTTGGCTAATGAAGAGTTCAGAGCTGATGAACAACCACATACCCTTTAAAGTAAGATGAGTTTATTCAGTGACAGGCTGTTCGGGAAGCAGGACTCCAAAACCTTTATTGAAGAAAAGCAAAGAAAACAGGATGCTAAATTACCCGTGCCAGGACAGAAAAGCAATTAAAAAATGTGAAGGCTCATGAGCTCATCCAGTTTGTTTCCAAACAGTCCAGGCCAGGATTGTTCTTTACATACTCTAGCTCTGTCCAGCCCAGTTAACAACTGTCCCAAATGATTTGGGATACATCACTTCCCATCAGAAGCTATGCGATACTTAACAGGAGATTCGACTTAAGACTTCAGTCCTCTTTGCTTTCTTCATCGCTACTGTTGGCACTCAGCTTCACTGCATTTTAAGCCTCCAGCTAACATGCACCTAACGTCTTCCAAATCATGAGCTGCATATGCTTGTTCCTTCAAGCGCAGCAAGGACTCACTTATTTCACCTTCCCAGCTGCTTGCTCCCTTCCGCTCAAGACACGGCCACACCAACAGGTACCATACACAAACATGAGTGTGCAAACTCGCAGCCAGCTACACCGTGGTGTCTGTCCACATGCGTGTTGCCTCCAAGGATGGGGAGAAGCTCACCCCTCGCTTCAGTGTGCGCAGATAAGCGGCAACCACAGAACAGACAACCTACCATGAACCCACGCCCCACGGAGCTTGTTTGCGCAGTTGTAGGCTCAGATTCTTGCAGGCAGTCTGTGTCTACATTAGGAGCATTTTGACAACTTGTAATTGAACACTGTTGGTTTTTCTACAGAATTCAATCCCTCTGGAGCCTCACAACATACTTCTCATTGCACTTGGATTAGAGACTTATTCTGCCTCCAAGAAGGCAGCTATGGACCTTAGCTTCGCCTGCTTCTGTTGATGCTCATGTTTCAGAGACCGTTCCTTCCAACTCGCAGCCCTTCTGGATCCTGGTTTCTGGAGGAACATTCCTGCATCCTTCAAAGCTTAGTTCTAGTCCAGTAGTGAACATTACAAACGCAGAAGCTTCTTGTTTTGTTTAATATTAAATATAGTACATTTTGTTAACATGCTTCAGCTTCCAAGACTGAGAGATCACAGGCAAGAGCTGTCCCAGGATAAGCCTCTTGGGATGAATCCCCTCCCAAACATTTTAACGATGAACAGAAGCAAAGGAATTTATCTGACATGATCTATAATAAGATTTCAATATAACATTCAGCCTACAGCATTTCTAAATATGGCCAAAGATCCCTGAAGTTATTTGGCATTATTTCATCTTACAAGGATTTTCTTTCACTTATTCTGCTGTGTTTGCATACATGGGATTCCACATCCATCACGGAGCAAGGTCGCCTATTGTTCAGTGGGCTCTGACCAAGGTAAAATAGGTCTCAGGAACAAGGTTGGCAGGTGCAGAATTTGGATTATTTTTTATTTACTAAAAAAACCTTTTGACATCTACTCACAACCTATAGATACAGGAAAAAATGAAAGCGTCACCCTTAAATCAAGGGCTGAAGCAATTCTGAAACCTGATGGGCTTGTTCCCCTCCAATCCCCACCTCTTCCCAACACACACCACTACATCCATTAGGATATTTGAGGTAAGGAACCATCTCAGCCTTCTGCAAAGCGCTACAAATCAAAACACCTCACCACTGACTGGCACGCTTTCTTCTCTTTCCTCTTCCCAAACATCAGACAAATCCCCAGCGGAAGGAAAAATGGAAGAGCAACTGAAGACAAAGCCAGGAAGACACAGGCCAAGTCCGTTACTCAAAGTGCCATCTCAGTGCTGAAGAGATTCTTCTCAGGCGTCTGAGGTTGCACCTTCTCCAACATAACGTGAGAAGAAAGTGCCAGTTGTGAGAGCCCAAATTCTGCTGTTACGCAGGTAATAAAGCTTGCTCTGCTATTTTTGCTCCTATTTTTAGCTAGGTCCTGCAGCCAAGATAGCATCGTTTCTTAAACCGAGACAAAATGTGATTTGCAGAATGCCCATGACCACTCTCACATCAGCAAGGACTCTGCCCTCAGCCTCGGTACAGGAGATCTCTTTAGAAATACAAGTGTCATTTGCAGCAGCATTTTGAGCGCGAAGCAAACGCCGCCCCGCAAAACAAATTAAATACACTTACCATGACGGTGCAGTCCTCAGAGCCACTGGCGATGACCTGGTCATTATGAGGACACCAGTCTATGTCCAGCACCGGTCCTGTGTGGCCACATACTGTTGGGTAGGACTTGTCAATTCTGCCTGTCTGAAGGGGGGAAATGAAGAAGAGAGCTGTAATGCACAGACAGCACAGAGCACATCTCACAGAGTGGAGGAAGACGCTTCCTAATTCTCCATGAACTCTTTCAGTATTCACAATTCCATGAAATTTGAATCACCTCATGTATCAGTAGACGAAATGAACCAGTGACTCTTCTCTAGCACTGACTAGCTGGAAACTCCTGATGGTGCAAGACAAGGCTTCAGAAGTTCAGCACAGGAGGGCTTTGCTCCCCCTCTGATGCAGGGATGCTTTGCTGCCCGTATCTCAGCATTTGCTGCAATGCCATCCCTTTGTCCGTCTCCAATGTTTCGGGAAGAGGGCTCTGCCCGCATGGTGAAGCTCTGGTTTTGTCTGCGCTTCACAGCGGCGGCCAGCAACAGCTAAAGATAACCAAGCTAAAATTTTAATTGAAGGGCGTTGCTGGTCATTGAATTTGATGAACTTGGTAGTCTGGCTTGTTTTCATCATAGAAGTATTTTGCTTAGATGGAAAGTTTTTAGGATACAGTTGTGCAGAGTAAAATACTGTTTTCAGGAATAAAGTCTGCCAATACAGACTGCCACAGCCACCGCCACCCATCCCGATCCGTACCTGCCTCTCTATGGCCGGAGGACCAAGGCCCCCAGCATGCTGCCAAAGTCAAGCTCACTACACAGATAAACCTTCCAAGAAAACAAGCTAATGAGATGTTCCCATCTGAACTGAGACAAATCTAGTGATGCCGACGCAGTTGTTGCAAAGACACCATCTTTGTCAACTGGGTTTACATTTTGCTGATGGAGCCCCTCAATATCCTGAAGCACCCGACCCCCCCCAAACTGCTGATGCGCCTAATACCCCAGCTTCCTCTGTGTGAAAGGAAATAAAAATCCCTCTAGCTAATCATCGTTCTCTCTCTTGGTCAAGTCTTGCACGCATGGGAAGCATTATTTAAAATACTGAAGACACACGGCAATAGTGGCAGGGCGAGAAGACTCCGGCACTTCCAGGGCCAGAACCTGGGTCCCGCTCCAAGGGGTTTTGTTTCCAGGGAATGCCGCGATGGCCTTTTCATGAGCGATGGGAGAAGAGAGGCAGGAGGGAGAGGTCTGGGACGGGGTCGTCTTCTTTCGTGTTTAAACATGCAGAAGAAATGGTTGGCATCTCACTTCTGCCATTCGGTGATGACATTCCCCAACCTTGGAGGTTACATTTCTTAATATATGCCTCCTACCCATCTCCATGCGGAAGGCTGTTCCTATTCAACGCTCTCTTACATACAAAGGATCAGAATAATGCTGGATACTGGCTTTTGAAGACTACTGACCTGAAGACCTCTACTAGCAACAAAACAAGATATAGATCCAAACAGACTAAGTTACAGAAACAAAACAATCACTATTTCCTAAATGTCCAAATTTAGGTTTCAAAAAAAGACTGTCTCAGTGATTCAAATGCTTTTGAAATTATTAAAAGTGAAAGTGTGGTAGATGAAAAGCCATAAACCAGACATTCAAAAATTAAAGTCTGTGTAATCCTTCTTGGATGCCATAATGTGAAATAGGATTTAAAAAAATTAGTACATCCAACTGACATGTATAGTCCATCCATTTTAATTTATCTAATTAAAAAAGAACCATGCAGAGCATATGCGCATGTACATATTTCAGAAGTCACATTACAGGCTAAATACAAATATAGACCTAAAAATACAACTAATACTGCGAGATGTCAGTGACTACCTGTTCTTGCTCCTAGGCAGGGCTCAGAGTAATCCTCTAAGAGGAGCCTATGGTAATTATTTGCAGGCTGCACAAGTGCTTGTCAGTTTAGTTTAGAGTTTTTATAGTAATTTATTACTGGAGGGAGGGAAAAAAAAATTCAATTTGAACAAATTAAACCACAAACTTCACCTTTCAGTTTTGATCACGATGAACCTGAACAGCACGAGCAGCAGCAGCCAACTGTCTGTGGCAGCCAGCTGACCGCAGGGACCAGGCAACCCCACCGCCTGCTTTTGATCACCTAAAACGGAGCTCATTTTTTAAACCAGCTATCTTGTACATCCACTAGCTCACTAAATGGCAGCGCTCCGAGGACAGCGAGGAAAACGAGACGATGGAGGCTCCGTGTGAGCCTGCAGCAAGAGGGAGCTCCCGATGCCCAAAAGCAGAAGGGACAGCGCAGCCACGGGCTTCCAGCTCCCACGGGGGAGCGAGTCCCCTTCCCTCGGCAGGCGAAGCAGCAAGCTAGAGGAAAGCTCAGTCTTGTCGTCAAGCTGAGGAACTTGAGATGGATGCACAGGCGCAGCTGTTTTGGACAAGGACAGCATACATTTCTTGGGCCAGAGCCATCTAGATCAAGAAGAAATTGCAGATGCACAAAGGGGAAGTTAAACCAAACTGAGCAGAAATATCTTTGCACCATGTTACAGGTGAATAGATGCTTATCTGCACCATCTGTAAAGTGCACCCTTTTCCTGCCTGAATGCGGATAGTGACATACAAAAACTATTTCTAACAAGGGAACAGACAGGGTAAGGGTGGGGAAAATGAGATGTTATTTAGAAGCAGTATGGGAGATGCAATAACTTCAAGCAACCTCAAGCATATTTATTCACAAAAGTTTCCAAAACCGAGCAAGCGGAGTACAAACAAGAGAAGGAGATGTCACACTGCCTGCAAACACAACAGCTCCCCAGGGTCTGGCAGAGGAAGACAACGCCAGGGGAGATGCATGGCCCAGCGGCAGCAACTTCTACACTTGGGCACAGCACTACTGCACTAGAAGACCAACTCAGCTACTCACCAGGGTCCACAAAGAATAGTGTCAAACAGCAAAATGAGAATAAACAAGGATGTAAACAGACAGAAAGGCTTACTGGCCAAAAGGCTGCCGTGCTGCTCAAAGCTGCAGTTCGGCTAGCAGAAGTCCAACCACTTTCAGAGAAGCTACTGACTTGTGGTCAGAAACACAAAAACGTCTTTACAGCGCAGAGGAAACCATGGTGCTGTCCTGAACATGTAACAAAAAGCAAGAGCTCTCCTCGGCAATGCTTCTAAATGCACTTCATCTGCTCCACTTCAAAAAAAAAACCAAAACAACCCACCACTTTTATTAGAAAGCGTGACCCTTCAAAGGGGATCGGGGGGGGCTGTCAAGGGACAGTAACTCATGTCACCACCCCAGGGCCTGACCCAGCACACCTTTTCCTCAACCACCCAGCAGGGTAAGAAATGAGCTGCTTTTAACTCAGATGTGTTACTTTACCACCTCTCTAAGCCAGTTTTGTAAATACTGCCCATGCAGGCTACACCGCAGGCTTCCTCCTCCCAGCAGTGTTCTCCTCTCCGGAGCAGGGGATCCCTATTCCTGGCATCGTGCGGGATTAGCTGTGCACAGAAGAGCTTTAAAAAACAGTATTTAGGGGGCTTTGCCAAAAGGAAAAGACCAGGAAGCCTGCAGTAGGGTATTAAAAAAAAAATGCCAGCCTGTAAAATCGCCAAATTCAACGTTTCTAAACCCAATTCCTTTTAAAAGAGACGCATCTGCCACAAGAACACCACGAGGTTTGCAACTTCGCTGCCAAATGGATGCGTTTTCATGCTACCGTAAAACTCCCAGGTTTGGGGATTTATTTATTTATTTTTAATATGTAATCTTTTAATTCGTTAAGGATTTAAAATAAACCTCAAGTGCTGATACACAGCTTAAAATTAACTCGGTATGACTTCAAGAAATTAAATCCTTCTCATAATCCATTACGACTGTGGTTGAGCAACACATCACAGTAACAACTTTTGAAACTCAGAGTTGTATTTTATAAAAAGTTAGCGAAAAAGGTGAATTTGAGGATTAGTATTAATATGCTGATGGCACTGACCAGAAGCACACTCAATATTCAGGTCCTTCAACAGGTGGTAAGCTGACCTTACCAAATGAATTCATTTAGTGCTTTCATGTGTCCCAGATCAGAAAAAACTAACAGATGAGAAGAAAAAAAAAATCGTTATTAAATCCAGAAGGGACAGATAAGCAGCACAGGAAAACTGCTCCTAAAAGTGGTAGTTTTATGAATTAATTTGACTGTCTTACGATCACTTCTCTGCCAGAAAAGGGCAATTGGTTGCAGGAAACAGCTCATGGATTATGGTAAAAATATCACGGAGAACAGCTGCTTCCCCCAACCCATGGCTGCACTCATTAAGATCGTCATTTAAAATAGGGAAGTGGCATCAAGTTGCACAAGCAAAAGCAATTCCCCCACCCTTACTTTGCAGAAGTTTGAGGAAGGAAATCAGGTCACAACTGCAAAGTTTGAAATACAAACCAACTAGTACCTTTTCTCTGTTAGAGAGGATATTCCTTTTTTTTTTTTAGCTAAATTGCCTATTTTCCTTACAGCAAACTCAAGTTTCACAAACTCCAGTCGAGTGAAGTTTAATGTGCTCTGGCCACCGAGCCTCCACCTCTGGTTGCAGCTGCTGGTCATGCAGGAGACCGTTGGGAGAAAATACTGCAGTAGGATGTAATGAAAGTGCATTGCTCTCTCGTGACCATGACAAATAGACATTAGTCACCCAGCAAACCAATCAAGGCATCCGTAACTAATTCGGAAGATTATGAAAAGTGTTACTCCCAAAAGGTCTACTGTAATGTCATGCAATAAGAGACTCGGAGGCATTCATAACTACATACTGCTTTCAAACCGGACCACTATAAACGTTGCTTGTGCCCTCCAAAAATTCCTCAGCAGTGCTCCTGTTCTCATTTTATCACCTTGACAGCTGCAGGGCTGTGACATTACAGTAGACATTACGGGCTGCTACAGAACGGAGACAAAGGTCCTTGTTCCGGAGTGCCCAGACCTAAATGGATGCACAAAGAGGAGGGAAGAAAAATGCGGTGACAGACAGGAATCCTGCACAAAGCCAACCCTGCCCGAGCAGCAAGAGCAGGGCTTTAAAAACCACAGCATTGTGCGGCCCCAGCAGATTTGGCAT